ACATATTCCGCTAACAATATAATATAACAATATCTATATTTCCTTTTCAATTATTTTATTGCGATGATCAGTTATCATTAGCTATCGTGTAGTTGTCCAAATTTCCATTACAAACGTTGATACTACTATTTATGTTTATCTGACATAATCATATGCAAAGACCATGCTGGATTAACAGGACTTGACTGAATCAACCTAATGAAATTTGAGTTAAGAATGATTACTATACTTCATAGTAATTAGTCTTTTAAACATTGAAATCAGTATTAGTGTGTATTAGACTTGGTTTACAATTCATGTAAGTACTACTGATATTTAGTCTGATAAAGTAGATGGTGCAAAATGGTGTCAATGTGGATTACTGGGCAACACAATTTCACATACTGTATTCGACGTAATAAGCGCCCCGCTCTAATAAGCCGCCACGGCGATATTTGCTAATATACTGGGTAGTGAACAATCCCAATTAGCACCCCTTCCGATTGACAAAAGTACACAAGGCTATTTATTCGTGCATAATACGTTTGTTATATGCACCCTTAATTATGGGCAATTAAATTCTGGAAAAATATATCTGTCATTTATAAACATTTCAGCATAAACCAAGAAATTTACGCTCTTTGAACTCGTTGTTTTTCACCAAAAAAATAGTCTAATAAGAGCCCCCTAATTCTAATTTTGAGAGCGCCCTGGGCGCTTATTATATGGTACTTCATTTTAATCTAAAGTAAATGTACACAGTACTTGAGTAAAGGTAAACAAAAAGGTTTGTGAGAAAAGTGAACTACCTTGCCAAGATCGGCACTGGACAGGGTGAGGTAATACAACTGGCTGAGATCTGTGCTAGCCACAAGTGTCTCCTCGGACGGACTGACGGTCAGACATTTGATGACCTGTTGCTGGGACTTTGTGGGGTCAGAGCTGTTAGGGTCAGCTGGGATCTGAAAAATTACCACAATAACAGTGACAACAATAAAATATATTGACATTACATCTGTTTACCGAGCAGCCATTACTGTCGTGCATTTGGATAAATAACGGTTTGAAATGATTGTAAGAAAACTCACACTACAACAACACTCAGAAAATATAGAGGTAGGGATTATAGATGAAAAAAACATTGATACCTTTATGTCCCTAGCCTTCTTGAAGAAATCCTTGTCGTCGGTTTTCTCGAAAAGATGAACCATGCCCGGTCCACAAGCACACGCATAGCCCTTGGAGTAGGCTACAATAGCTGAGATCTGAGGAGGACCACTTGGCTGGCTGCCATCATCTAGACTATCTTTCCTGTAATCAACGAATGATGTGATTGGTTACAACAAAGAACACATGCATTTAACTACTAAATGTCAGATTTGAAGTAGATTTAGTTTACAATTTATTTTGAATTTCACGGTACAAATGTAATATCAAACGCAATTATTATTAAAATAGTTACGTCAAATAAGTTGTCAGAACAGTGTGTTGAAAAAGATGATGATGTCTGACTAAAATATGTGTAATACATAGAATAACCTACTTCCTTGTCAAAATTATGGATTATCTGTCGAGGGTGAATTAATTTGGTACAAATAGCTTGTTATAATTCTCGATTAGCATGATAAAAACCATTGAGTGAGTGAGTATGGTTTGATGCTGCTTTTAGCAATATTCCAGCAATATCACAGGGGGGGACACCAGAAATGGGCTTCACACATTGAACCCATGTCGGGAATCGAACCCGGGTCTTCGGCGTGACGAGCGAACGCTTTAACCACTAGGCTACTCCACCGCCCCTGATACTGAAACATGCAGAATGATGTGGATTTGAACTCCTTACTTTTCCTCCTTGAGAGCTCCAGCATTGAACTCATTCTTCAGCTCTCCTGCCTCAAACAACAGCAGTTTGCCGGTGTCGGTGCCGACCACCACCCTCTCCTCCGATACCCAGGCATGACACAGGAAGTTCTGTGGCTCCATCTTCTGGAAAGGGAAGGGCTTGAGGTTGCCCTCGCTGTAGCGGAAGTGACGGAAGATTCCATTGCCAATGACACACAGCTGCGTGTTGTCTTGAGGGTTAAAACTCACCTGATCAAGGATGAAATTGTTTTGGTTATACCATACTTTAACATGTTTGCATACATTGATTCTTTCTTTACATTGTGTATGTTCGGTATGTTTACAAATAAACCCTGCATTTAGTTATGCATATCCAGTTCATTAACAACACAAATCACATGAAATTTTACCCCAACATGTAGTAGTGGGACAATAGACCAATGCATCGCAATTTTTTAATTCTCGAAACAAGTATCGATCACAATCGCACACTAAGTAAAAAGTATTGATTCTTACCTTAAATGTATATTTTAATAAACGCTACACCAAACACTAATTACTATTGAAAATGAGTAGTGAAAACGTAAATATTTTCATCCATTGCGCCATACTTGACACTGTAAATCGTTAGTGTGCCAGGTATTTGGCCATCATATCTATGAAAAAGATCGCTAATGCACCACAAATAAGAGCACATGCAAGTATCATGATGTGTATCGGATCGTGAGCAAGGTATCGTGATACGTATCGGATCGCCCAGTTGGTGTATCATCCCAGCCCTACTAACGCGTGCTTTCAATGGTTCTTGTGGTAGATCCAGCTTAAAGAAGTACATACTACAGCCTAGCCTTATCAAGTAAAATAGACACAACACAGTATATATTTCTTGCACGATATAACATTAAGAAGATAACTTATAAAGAACATCCATTATACCCATACCAGAATTCATGTTTTATCAACAACAAAATTGTTTTTTTCATTAATATCATGTCATATATCATATTCAAAATTAATATAAAATAAGAAGCATACCATGAGACTGATAATAATATTTTATGATAACTTATGCACAAATAATTTTAGATACCAAGTTACCTGTGACATGTATATAGATATAATGAAAGAAAACACTCTCTTAGGTGAAAAAAGTAAATGGTCTACTCTCACCTGGTAAACATCCGCTGTATTTTGTGGATTGGATGTTTTGGCTGTGGCCATCACTTTAGATTTCTCCCATGTCCAGTACAACAGAGTCCAGTCGGGCTTGCCACCTTGAGCCACCAGGTACTTGGAATCAGGGGAGAACGCCAAACTGACATACTCCCCAGACTGGACATCTGGTGATGTCAGAACCTTTTTCTTCCTCAAGGAATGGAGATCATATATTGTGATGGTCGGCTTCTCTCCCTTTTCCGCAATAGCGACATACCTTCTGTTTGGGCTGACAGCCAGTGCTGTCATTCCCTCAGACTTGTCTGTTCCCGGGATAAACTTCTGTACCTTCTGATCTGTGTTGTACAGGATGCAGTTGGCTCCAGAGGGATACACAATAGTCTGTTCATCATGGTAGCAAATGTTTCCTGTCACTCCTGGCTTCAGGCCAAAGATGTGCCTGGCCTGGGCGATGGCTATCGACATTTTGGATGTTTATTGTTTTTTTCAAAGCTGTAACAAAACAACATCATATACTGTACTCACATGAATAATTTATACATATTGAAAAAAATTGCAACAAGAACATGTAGATCGTATGTATCACAAGTTGTAGATAAATTTCGTAATTGAGAACATAACCCATATGTTGACAAAGTATAAAATAACCACCAATAATGAATGAATTTTGTATGTTTTGCCTGTTTCATGAAGACCAAGGAAGCCTATTAGAGCTGGGACAGGTAACTCTGCTAACTTGGGTGTGACCTGAGTAGGACCCGGGTACCCACAGTACCCATGGTTAGTCATGTGAAATAATTCTCAATGACAATAACAATAACACTCCATGGTTTCAGTACAAGTCACTAATACTTTATGCCAAGATCCAGTAAAAACAATTCCCAATCAGATATATTGTATCCACTCTTGAGATCTACAGTGGCCACCCGGGGAGGGTCGGGTAATTGGGGGTTGTGTACCCGGAAAGTAAAGTTGACCTGATCTCTGCCCTAAAGCAGGAAGAATATTTAAACTGTTGTTTTTATTGTAGGTTGGGAGGGCAACCAAATTACATGCAAATTAATATTACATCTAAATATTTATCAAAAGGAAGGCGCTCGTGCACACCCCTTACCAAAATGGTGGAAGGTATTCCCTATACTGCAATCTAGCCTTTTACCTAAATATGCAAGGGAATATAAGTGATCCTGGTCGATAGATATCATTCATTATACACGCACACCCACTATAGCATGTAAACCGTAAATTCAGAAACGAGTTTCTTGTGAGTGTCTCGGGTCTCAAGTCTAGACAAGGTTCAACTACATGCTTTGGAAACTAATTACAATGTATTTCACGTCTTACAAACAAATGATACACAAAAGGAAACATTTGAACAGAAAAATATAAGTCCAATAAATAATATTGGTAAATTATGAAAAGGAAATATGACATCTCAAACTGAAGAAAACCTTAGACAATACCTGAATACCTTATTGAAACGAACACAAAATGAATAACTGCATCAACAGACTGTTTCAATGATGACAGCATTCACTGTGAGAAGAATTCTATTCTATGTGTGTTATTTTCTTAAATCCAACACCTACCGCTATGGTTATCTTGTTAAAATCCCAAAACAACCGACTGCAGTTGAAGAACTGCATCAACAATCGTTGACATCCGTTGCCATGAGTAACTGCGCAGTGCTTTGTGACGCACCGGAAATGTAAGATTAAAATCCGGACATGAGGGAGTAATAATTGTATAGACTAGAAAGAATTTTGTTTCATTTTGCAAAGAAACAAAACAATGACATCATTGTCTAAGTTAACATAGCATTGTTATATAAATAATTCATCTGTGCTGTAATATATCATTAAAGTGTTTCTACATTCGTATAAGCGTTTCTTGGTAATATTGCTTTCAAGGATTACTCAGATGTCATTTACTTCCGGGTTGTGACATATGCGTGAATACAGCAGACGAATAAGAAAGGTTGTTACAAGTTGAAATGACCCTTTAGACCGCACAATATAGTCATTGTATGAGATTGAAATTGGGTTAATATGTGCTAAAGAGTCAGGGTTACTTGGTACATATGTTTCAGTTTCCAACTTTCTTACCCAAGGCCGTCCGAAAACCTTTGATCCGACGATTCTTATATAGAACAGGGGTCAGTATAGGGCGTGATTCGCGTACGGTGTACATTAAGTTAAATCTACAGGCATGTTATCCGTAGATATGTCCAAAATATGATGTCAGAAATACAAAAAAAACAAATGCTCCTTCGTCAAGATAACCTGGACATCACAAGGGTACATTCAACTCTACCTGTGTATCAAAACAATCCTCACACATTTTGATCATTTAATTAGCAGTAATGTTTAGGCCACTTAACTGGCTTGCTTTTCAAGTTTTATGACCAGGTTCAGTATATCAATAAACAGACAGACAATGTCCTGATTAACACTGCCTTAATTACACAGACACAATGTCGCAATGACTACACCTAACCTGAAATTGGTACTAGAGCATGTACCCTATATTTGCTTTCTTCTATTTTGCATAATCTATTATAAAAATATTTCAGTTTTTGAAAGATTTGTATTTTTAGTTCAACATGTTATCTTTGTTTATGGAGACATGCCACAATGGTAATGTGACAAATTTGGGTGAAACCCCTTGCATGCTCGTGGAAACCCTGTTAATTGCAGAAAGCTTGATGTGTTGTGGTTTCACACATTTTCTGGTTGTGCTTATCCATTGTGTCAATATGATATGTGGAGAAATCTTGCCTTTATCTCTTCAGGAAATATATTTTTAACCAATTGCCATATGGGATTTCCAATCCTAAACTATGTAACTCATATTTACATTCATTACTGTTAGCAGATTTAACAATGTAACCCTATTATCTGGTACCCTTCATTGAACATGTTAGGATGGGTAAAAATGTGCACTACTTTACTTTAGGGTAGACTATAAAATTTCCATCTATCAGTTGTAATCATTAAGGCTTCAAAAAATAAAAAAATTGGCTCTTGGGCAATGATTTTTGAAAATATAGTGCGGGCGTTTTTTTTGTTTTTTTTGTGTGTTGCTTGTTCAAACTAGTATGTAACCAAATAAACAGTTGGAAAAGGCCTTCCTACATAAACAAGCATACAAACTCCTGTTGCCGCCATAAAACGAGATGTGCAGTAAAGCAGTGCGCATGTAAAGGAAAGTAACTGTGTGCTCTCACTGTGATCACAATTTTTTTGAAGTGTTAAGAATTTGTTCAATTTTTAAAAAAAATGGAAATAAAATGGAAACATGCTTCAGACTTTATGATGATGCGGGCAGTGCCCCAGAACCAAGACTATTATTTTGTTTAGCCTAAATGAGAACTAAGCTCTGGCTTCTACCACACTGACTGACACTACCCACTAGGACTCATGAGTTGCCTTGAGTTGATCTGCTGGCTGATGCGACTGGCATGACGAGAGACTGTGCTACTGTCTGTAACAACATCGGAAATGACCTTGAGGCAATGCCAATACACATTTCTGAACACGGATTGGTTACCACCTGATCCATAAAGATTTTAAGTTAATTTATTTCCTCATCATAAACAAACAGACAAAAAGCATGGATAAGGCTCATCAGATACCTACATTTTGAAATTATATCCAAGACTAAAGTTTATTTCATTTTTGTTCCCCCAATAACTTTACCAATTCTTTCATCTTGCTCGCACCAACATCACATAAAAAAAACATTTGTTGTGGCTATGCTATATCAACATGAAAAGTAAGTCAATAGAATGTAACCAACATCCAAGAGACATCTCCATTCAAAACAAACAAAAAAACGAAAAAGCCAGTCCAACCAGAATGTTTCAACTTTGTGGTTCTTTAAATTCTAATTTGGAATTAAACTTAACATGCAACAGTGGATTTTGTTGGTGTATTGTATGTTTGACAAATTACAAATTATTTGGGGATTGTTATCAACAGAAATTTCTAACAAGATCACAATAAAAATATACATGTATGTATTGTGTGTCTTCATTTCAGAATCAGTGCCTGATCTGGCCAAGTCAAAATGTCAACCTTTGTTTCACCTGCCATCCGATGTGCGTTAACCCAGTCTGTACTGAGGTCATGGTGTAAGTCAAGACGCCACCTGGTGGTGTGTGGCTCATTGACCTCACACTATGGCACCAGGAACAGGTCAACAGCAGCAGAAGAAGCAAAACCATTCCATCGGTACCTGGATGCAAGTGATGCTGCAACTGAAGACATACTGGCCAGGGATATGATCATCCATGAGGACTTCCTGTCTGCAGAGGAGGAGAAATCTCTCCTCGATGAAGTAGAACCCTATATGAAACGTCTTCGATATGAACATGATCACTGGGATGATGTGAGTACCTGATTAGGACACAAAAGGCAGGCGTACCAGTGAAAACTGACAAACTGCAATCTGTCATATGTCTACAATACACAAGGAATCAACAACATAAAACAATGAGAACATAACCGAAAACTAAGAAACCGCATCATAAATCTGAGAGCACATAGCTGCAACAGCAGCGATAAAACAGCAGACCACAATCTTCCAAACAAGTAGGAAGTTGACTGTCATGTCGCAAAGAATAAGTAAATTTACATCTTACAGCGCTAATATAGAATATTCTAGACGTGTATTATTATATTAGTGCTGTAAGATGTAAGTTTACATTATTTGTTTATTTTATTGCAATCTGTCAGTTTTCATTAGTAGGCCTGAAAAGAGATATGATATGAATTATTGTTATGATGAGATATTCTTGTTAATTGTTGCCAGTACCCCCGAGCAGATTCCGTGTCAAAATAAGTATAAGGGTAACGCTATTTTTCAGGGCATTATCGTCTGCAGAAGCCCGAGGTCTTCAATTAACTGCCCCACGAAGGAGGGCAGTTGAAAAGACCGAGGGCTTCTGCAAATGATAATGCCCTGAAAAATAGCGTTACCTTTATTATAGCTAAAATGGATGGAATTTGTTATCAAATAAAAAGAAACAACAATATCGGTTTTGAAACAATTACTGCAATCAACACGAATGTCACTGACCGACTTTTACAAATATGGAAACGTCATAGAACAAACCAGATGACGTCACCATTGAATGTGATGTCACCTATCTCTATCCTATGACGTCACCTAACAACGGGCGTGATAATAGCCCGTCGTCAAGCAATATGAGGGCATTATCAAGTTACAGTGGCCCGCTCATTTTTGATAACATGCGGGCGGTTTAATGATAATTCTATCCATTTTAGCTATAATCCCCAACGACCTTTGCTTGTCATCATACAAGGTGACTTAATGCTGTTATTGACTGCAATATATTGAGTCCTAGTGCATGGAAATGGATAGTGGATGAAACAATGTACACTGTATCCCATGGGATGCTTTAATGTGCCTTCTATGCATTTCAGGCCATCCATGGTTACCGTGAGACTGAACGACGCAAGTGGAATGAGAGAAACATGACAATCCTACAGCGAGTGAAAGACTTAGCTTTCCCACCGGGTACCCCTCAACTGGCCTACATTCATATCCTGGACATCTCCAAAGAAGGCTACATAAAGCCCCATGTAGATGCTGTTAGGGTAAATTAACCAGTTCCTCACTATACCATTAAATCTCGACAATAACCAGATCCTGGAATGACTAAGGGACATAACTCCAGAAAATGAGTCACAGTTTCTTAGACAACTGTGATGCCCATCCCCCTGTTAGTAATAGACCTTTGACAAAAAAAAGAATTTACATAGCCTGTGGGACGTACTGCCATACAATCTTAGCCATCCATTAGATATTCCAGAATGTTCTTTTCTTCAGTTTTCAAAAAGAGCTGTCAAAAATATTTTTCTAAGCTTATTCTGGAATGGAAATGCCAGTTTCAATCTCATTAAAATCAGATCTTAGTTCTCGCTATCGCTATACAAAGATCTAAGGACATCCCATTACGGGTCACGTCAGAACGACCTTTCATCCAACCAATCAGAGCGTCGCTTACCAGATCATGAAAGTGACAGTCGGAATGTGTTTTCTAATCATGCAACCACGCAATATTTAACACTGGGTATTCCGAACAACAGTTACAGGTTTTATGATTATATCCATACAATGTTCTTTTTATCAATTTTATTTTTTTTAATCGAGAATATGTCAAAAATATGCTTTGAAGTGTAGTCACCAGTTTGAAACTAGTGTTGTAAAACTCGAGAAAGCTGCCTTCTGATTGGCTAATTTCTTGTCAGTCCTTTCATTGGTCGGTCACAATTCGCGAAAGGTCGTTATGACATGACCCGTAATGAGATGTCCTCAGATCTTTGTTTAGCGGTAGCGAAAACTAAGATCTCATTTTAATGAGATTGTCGCCAGTTTGAAACTTGTGCCATAAAGTTGAGAAAGCTACTTTCTGATGTAATGTCAACTTCTTGTTAGTCATTTCATTGGTCGGTCATAGTTCACTAAAGGTTGTTCTGACGTGACCTGTTTAGAGTTTAGCAAGCACTTAGATCTGATTTTACTGAGATTGATCTTAATTGTCAGTTGTAGAGGAAAGATAGTCTAAACTTGGGACTTACAAGTAGATTGTACATTGTAGTTTTGCGGCAACACAATAGCCGGCTTGAATCTTCTGTCCTCGGCTGTGATGAAGCTGGTGCATGAGAAGGACAAAGACAGGTTTGCCAGCATCCTCCTCAGACAGAGATCACTCTACATCATGAAGTAAGCCACCTACAATAGATTTACATGTATATTCATGATGGTGATGGACAACAGCTTCAGGTCTATTTGATAACTTAATAAAGATTTCTAAAGAATTTCCCCATTTTGTAGATGTGCATATTCTGTGGGCCAAGAAGTGCTGATATCATACCATGTCCTTTCAGCATAGTCAGTGTTGGAAAGTAAGCTGGATAAGAACTGTGACATCTATTACTGGTCTTAATACTAATTGTAGACCAGTTATAGATTTGACACAGTTGTATTCCAGCTTACCTTCCAACACTGGACACCGGAAACAATACAACATTATTTGTTATCCCCCCGACATATAATGACGGGGGGGTATAGCCATCAGTATGTCTGTCTGTCCGTCCGTCTGTCTGTCTGTAATCATTGTTTGTCTGGAGCATATTTCCTAAACCGTACAACCTAGCTTCACAAAACTTCGTACACTTAACAATCAGGCTCAGTAGTAGTGCCTTTTGTTATTTAGAGATTTTTAGAATTTTTTATTTTTGTTGTTGCCATGGAAATATGATGAAATTAGGAAATTTGAGGGTAGTGCTCTTGTCCGGAGCATATTTCCTAAACCGTACAACCTTGCTTCACAAAACTTGGTACACTTAACATTCAGGCTCAGTAGTAGTGCCTTTTGCTATTTAGAAATTTTTAGAATTTTATATTTTTGTCGTTTCCTTGGAAATATTATGAACTTAGGAAATTTGAGGGTACTGCTCTTGTCCAGGGCCCCGTTCCTCAAAGCGATCTTAGCGCTACAATGATCGTAAGCCTATGTTAAAGTATGGGACTTACGATCACCTTAGCGCTAAGATCGCTTTGAGGAATGGGGCCCAGACCATATCTCCCGAACCATACAACCTAGCTTCTCAAAAGTTTTTACACCTATCAAGCAGGTTATGTAGTGGTGCCTTTGCTATTAACAGATGTCAATTCAAATTGAAAATTGATGAACTTAGGGTAATGTCCTCGTCTAGAGCATATCTTCTAAACCATGCGACAGAGATTCACCAAACATTATGCACATATCAATCATGTTCACTAGTAGTGCAGTTTGTTATTTATAGATTTTAATCTTTTTAATTTGTAGCCCCTGACATTTGAGATCATCAGAAAGTGATCTACATGAACCAATATTTAATAACCTTCATTATATTTCTGGTTTTGGCATCATGGAAAAAGATTTCCTTGCCAATCTAAAAACAATTGAAGGTACACACAGTTTACAGACATGCCATGTCGGGGGGATATATATCATCTTCGGATGACTCTTGTTTTACTATCCATGGAAGTGAATATAAATGAAATGATATTTGAAAGTTACAGAGATACAGTATTTTTTTGAGTGAAAAAGAGTGTGTCCTCCGATGAAACAATACTCAATAATCTTCTACTTACGGCAAAATGTTTTGTGTATAAGTGTAAACTTCTTGAAAAGATCTGCATATTTAAGAACTATGTTAAGGAGCTAGTTTTTCATTAACAAAATATTAACAAACATCAGAAATTGACCATGTTACGGTAAAGCGAATATCGGAAGCTCTGCGCATGTAGCGTCTACTAAGCATGCACATACCAGCCACGTGGTCCTGTAGGGTCTGTTGTAACATCATGGCAGGTTATTCAGTCTGTACCAGGGAACACTTGCACAATACAATCTTAGAGCTACGACTATCGTAAGTCTATGTTAGAGTATGGGCGTTATGATCGTCGTAGCGCTAGGGTCTCTCTGTACAAGAGTACCCAGACAAACTAGTGGTTGATAGCATGATCAGAGATGACACACATCAGCCAAGTAGCACATGGTAAGCACCTGATCCTCATTTTGGATAGGAGGGCACGGGTGGCCCAGTCGTCTAAGGCGCTGCAACTCGCGATGCAAAGTTGCGTCCCTTGGGCACGCCAGAAACCTATGATTGTGGGATCGAATCCTGGTTCGCCCCGATTATGTTTCTAGGTTTCTCAGCACCATACCCATGCTCCTGGGTTTCACCGAAGTGGTAAACGTCTGAGACCTGCATCACTTTGGGCTTTCCTCACACATTTAGCTGACACGCTGCGATACAACTGGAATACTGTTAAAAGCGGCGTTAAACTCAGCTCACTCACTCATTTTGGATTGTTCCTACAATCAGTAACTGTGACATATTCTGACATGACATCCTCAAACAGCAGTTCAATTCAAGAGAGTGGTTAACCTCACTTTTACTTTGAGGCTTGTTGCTTATCCTGCTATTTTGTATCCACACACATAAAAACAACATGCAGATGTACATGATGTAGGGCATCCTCCCTTTTCCTAACAGGCTATTTATATTGTGCATATATCCACACCACTCGGGGCATGATCAAAGAGCTATTATTACCCCGCTCACTGGATCACTGTGCACTCAAGAATCATTCTCATCTCCCTGGGGAGTATACAACCCATGCTGCCTGTTAGGTGCTAGAAGGTTAACAACCACTGCCATCTCATCCTACCGGGTACCCATTCACTGCTGGGTGAACAGAGGCACATTTCGACCAAAGTCACTTGCCCAAGGAGATGCCATGTTACATGTGATTCAGCGTAGGGCAGGACCAATTCCTAGAAACTCTCAGGAGCCAAGATGCCGAAAACGCAACCACCCATCCAAGGACTCTCCACAACTGATGTTGCCTAACTTCACTTGATTTGTGACACATACATGCGCGGTGCACGGGACCACGTGCCACCAAGTCCTGTGTATTACATCACTGTAGTAGCGGGCATCACTCCGGTTAGGCCAGCAAAACACAGAACAAGCGACTGGGGTGTGAGTTGGCAGCTATTCCTTTATTTGGTTCTAGCTCTGCAAAAATGCATAAAAAATACAATGAAAATATCTACGAGATGAAATAAAACAAACATATCACACAGTATCATCCCACTGATGCATATACTATTATTAGATACAAGGATACAAGACTCATCCAATCTTATATGTTATGCAAACTACAATAATATTTACATTATACATTGATCTAACATAACCACTCAGAGCAGTACTTTCAGTTAAACTTGATAGTACTTGAGACGTTACATACTTACCACCACAAACAATTGCTATTATATAAAAACAATATTCACAAAATATACACATAACTGACCACTGTGTGGCAATGCATATAGGATGGTCAGATCACAGGCATCTTTAGATCAGTTGCCATAATCTACAAGTTTGGGAAAGACTTCCGCCTGTATACCCCCTAAAAAATATATATAATTAAAAGGATTGAACGGCAATGTACACATATATAAGGAGGGGGATACAGGCAGAAGTCTCTCCCAAATTTGAAACAATAAGGCCACATAAGAAACAGGCAACGGCCAATAAAATAAGGATAATGTAAAATAACCTTTTCATCCGTATCCATTCAATCTTAAGCTACATACATACTGCATTCACAATGTAATTAGATGATATTTAAGCAATGATTTATGGTTAAAGTTTATTATTAATTTAGTTTAGATTTAACTAAATTATTTAGCGAATTAAGAGAGAATGTATACTAGCTACACAGTAGAATACCTAAGAGATGAAGATGCATGTATACTTATTATGAAACACTAGTTTATAATTTAAACTTAGTTACATGTTAATATTTTCCCAATCAATGCATTACCTGCTTGTCGGAAGAGGCGACTAATAGGATTGGGTGGTCAGGCTCTCTGACTTGGTTGATGCAAGTCATAATATCCCAATTACGTGTATCGATGCTCATGATGTCAATTACTGGATTGTCTGGTGCAGACTCGATTATTTACAGACTGCCGTCATATAGGTCTTTGAAAGGCATTTAGAAGTGATACACATAAGGAAGAGAATTTATTATGAGGAACACAGCGTTTCAAAGTATATGCTTCCAACACAACAGGTGAAGGAGTAAGCATATACTCCGAAACATTGTGATCCTCATTATAAAGAATTGATATCCTTAAATGCTTATCCTGCCATCATATAGCTGGGATATTGCAGTGTTAAACAACAAACAGACAATCCAAACAAAGCAATGATGACAGATGGGTCCAGGGTATTTATCATAATAGATATACATGTAATATACTTGAGAATCGAGGATGGTTCTTGTGATAATGAAGTATTGATGAGGGCTGGGACGAGTCCAAATTTACTACCTGGGTACCCGACCTCCTATTACCCGACCCTACCTGGGTACCCACTGCAAGTCTCAAGAGTTGGGAACAAAATGTCTGATTAGTAATTGTTTTGCTGCAGCCCTGGCTAAAACTATTTGGATACATGTATCAAACAATCACATCATGCGTTCACTGAAGTTGACTGAAGCTTTATCTTTACTCAAACATATACAAGTCAAAAGGAATGTGTGCATTGTCAGAAAGAAATGCGAGCATTAGTGACTTGTAGTGTAACCACTGAGATATAGTGAATTTTTGTCATTAAACAATATATCACATGACTAACCACGGGTCCGGGTAGTCCTGTGGGTACTAGGATAATACTCAGGAACCACCCGACCCGAGTACCTGAGTTACCCGTTCCAGCCCTAGAATTGATGTTGTCTGTTCTTCATCATAACGTTCACATCTCTCCACAGAGATTCTGCCAGGTATGACTACACCCACGAAGTTCTCCCGGAATCCCAGTCCAGGTTCCGGGGCCAAGTGATCCCCCGAGACAGGAGGATGTCCATCATCTGCAGGAATGAGCCCTTGCCAGAACACACAAGTGACAGTTGATGAAGCACCGTGTTTTTACTGGCTTGTACAAACTTCTAGATGACCCAAAGTGCTTTCTAGAGTCATGACTATTGTCATGTGAATGAGTCACACTCCGTAGAGTGGTGACTCAGCATAACACCACTGCCACAGGCTAATTTGCATATCACGTGACCGGATTTTTCTCTTATTTGTAAACAAACGCGCTTTTTCAGAAATCAGTATAGAACGGACTAATGCAAGTATTTGGGGGCACTTTACATATTGTTTTGCATAACTATATAGATATGCTACTACAACTGCGACAGTGAGTTGCATGACAATATATATTTATGCATCAAAGTGACCGTGTCGCTAGCTCTCCGTTGGGCTTCGATGACAGCACGTGGAGCCGTACAACCAATGTAAACATAGGATAACTACGCAAAAACAAGTAGATTTTTATGTATTTGCATACTTTCTTAATGAAAGTTAACCATTCTTTGACATTTGTTTATGAAAATGTGTAGGCTTGTCAAACATGAAACGGATGAAAAGCATATGCAATATCTTGAATGGACTGTGAAAGATGTGACGAATCGTCACATGGCGCTGGCCTGTGGCAGAGGTACTATGCTAGCTGGCTGCCGGCCGCATGGAACTCTGGGTAGGAGAGTGGTGAATGAGTGTGTGTTCTGCAATCTGATTGGCTGATATCCTGATTGGATCCAGGAACTCATTGAGACTTTTCACTGTGTCTGAATACTTTTCTAGATTTTAAAAATGATTATTTTTTCTCAGCTTACGTGTCGTTCAGCTGGTCAAAATGGATACCCGGATACCACATTAATTAGATATAAAGTCTAATAAATATGGATCATAACAACATTGATTTAGTAGTTTTCTTAGACATTCTGACAATGTGGCAGGCTCAGTTGTCACGGAAACATGGCATCATCCATTGCATCAGTGATCATGATGTCATAGCAATCGAGAATGGCGCCTCATAACTGCGAGAGTTCACACACGGAGACAGTGCTACAGAGAAATACTGATAAGTTAGTATTATGTTAATCTCCCAACTGGACATGATTGCCGTTGATTTTTTCAGTTGTTTTGTCACAAGGTTGGATTTATGTACAAAGAATAGTGTTATCACTATCCCCCGCCATGGGTCATTTTGTTTGTTCATATAGTAGTGAATGTTAACTGTAAATAAGGAGTTCTTTAAAGCCTTAAGAAGAGATAGGCACTAGGGCCGCTTTATGTCATCAGAAAAAATCATTAAATGTGAAATTAATACACATAAAAGGCCCCTTCTCTGGAAAAAAACAACTCAGTCATGATAAGTATCTCTTAGATGGCTAACTGCAATAGTTTCTGATACTGTACACTTTGTAACATAGCATAGATCAAGGGCATAACTGTGTATGCTCAAAATCTAAAAACATTTGCAAGGGAGGTCACTCTGGAAAAATAATAATTTATGTCATCATCTCGAACTCAGTCTTGACAATTATCTCTTAAATAAGCATGCAAACTTTCATTCATGTAACTTCAGTAGTTTCTGAGAAATCTTGTCCCAATTGCATATAGTATGCACTAAGTTGAAAAGCATAGAGCAAGGACAATAACTTTGTAGAAAAATAATTTTCGAACCCATTTAAGATCATGACCAGTACTATCAGTGTGTAAAATTGAATTTTTCTCTTACTTGAATGTTTTTTTGAAAAAGCTTGTTTTCTTTGAGAAGCAAACGGGCAGACGGACAGAGCCTGTTCCTATATCCCCATCCTGTGGTGGTGGTGGTGGTGGTGGGGGTGGGGGACACGGGTGGCCCAGTCGGCTAAGGCGCCGCGATTCGCTTGTGCAGAGTTGCATCCCTTGGGCACGCCAGAAACCTATGATTGTCGGTTCGAATCCCGGTTCGCCCCGATTATGTTTCTAGGTTTGTCAGCACCATACCCGTGCTTGTGGGTTTCACCGAAGTGGTAAACGTCTGAGACCTGCATCACTTCGGGCTTTCCTCACACATTTAGCTGACACACCATGATATAACTGGAATACTGTTAAAAGCGGTGTTAGACCCAACTCACTCACTCACTCACTCCTGGGACGGGATAACAATTATATAATGACGAAGCCAATGAGATTGACAGGAGAGAAGCCAATGACGTAAAAAGGTGTAGTGATGGGGCTGGATGTAATAACAAAGACCTGACCCCTTATTGTCAGTGTTACCATTGCAGCTCCTAGGATTAAAGTCACTGGATATGAGCGGTCATCAGAATAATAAAATGTATTACCTGAAACGCAACTGCCATTCAGCACACCTCTAATTCTCCAATTAGATAGTATTTCATTTCAAATATGCTTTCAAAGATCATATTTGTGACATACATGTACATGTATATAAGGTTTATATCTACATGGGAATGTACTGTTTTGTAATCATCTGGGATGTTTTTAACTTCAAGGACCTTGGAGTACTTACAATAAGGATTGTTATTGAAATTAGTCTTCAAGATATTCTCCTTGTTTAAATGGTTTTAATAAATTATTTTGATATCATGTGTGATCATGTATTTGTTTTATTAAGAAATAAATCACATGAGAAAAATATGTGGGGAATGTGGTGGAGTAATGTTGAATGCATATTTGAGCATCATGTATTCCAATATTGATATATCAAAAAGTGCAGGGATAACTCTTCAACTGTTGGCATTTTAGTCGAGTCAAGGATAATTATTAAACAGGAATATATTTCTTTTCTGTATGCCACCTTATACAAGAGGTTACCTATTTGTACACAATACTTTTGAAATGGCTAATTGTGTGGATCGATGCTCATGATGTCTATCACTGGATTGTCTGGTCCAGACTCGATTATTTACAGACCGCTGTCAGATAGCTGGAATATTGCTGAGTGTGGCGTTAAACAAAAACCAAACAAACATTTGAATTGCATGGTACAGTATACATTTAAATGTTCTAAATAATTTTTTTAATTGTATCAAATAAGACATGATACATTTTGTCAGAGATCAGTAATACAAATGCGACAATTATACTTGTATGAATAAATATAAAATTCATTAGTGAAGATATATAATGAATGATTATACTTCAGCCATTTATGATTCCATTTTGCAAGATACTGAAGCACATTTAAAAAGTTTATCTTCATCACTTATGGTTTTTTTCAATTCTATATGTAAGTCTAATGATGTTTAATAAATGGTTGAACTTCATCTGCAACTCTGTATATTTTTATATAAATTGCACAGTTATAGAGAACAAGTCAAATACAAATCATATACAATTCAGATCTAAGATTATCAGTTTTAGATGCATGTCATTCTCCAAGTTCTTGTAATAGTGTTTGCAACTTTTCACAAGTAAAGAAGATATATTCTGATGTTTCCGCTTCTTTCTGACAAAGAGTACTATTGTTATCAGCCCCCTTGCCTATCTTAAATAAGAAAGACTTGGGAGTGAGTGAATGAGTCAGCTTAAATGTGTGAGGAAAGCCCGAAGTGGTGCAGTAAAAATTTACCACTTATGTGAAACCCACAAGCACGGGTGTAGTGCTGACAAACCTAGAAACATAATCGAGGTGAACTGGGATTCGAACCCACAATCATAGGTTTCTGGCGCCCCCAAAGGATGCAACTCTGCACAGCAAATCGCAGTGCCTCAGACGACTGGGCCACCTGTGCCCCGACTTGGGAGTGATAACTCTGCGTTTTACCATGCCTGTGATATTATTCCAGCAATATCATGGCAGGGGACACCAGAAAAGGACTTCACATATTGAACATGGACCTTAGGCGTGATGTGTGAACATTTAGCCACAAGGCTACCCAACCGCCCCCATTGTGGTAATAAGATATACATTAGTCAGAAGACTCGATGTCACTCAGCTATCCATCATGTAATTGTTCTATGCATTCACTATTAAATGTTGGTGAAACTGACATGTACCCATCTTCCTGACACAAGGGAGTTAACAGACTATAAGAGTCCAGTTTCAGCCCTTGCCCAACAAGGCTGAAATTGCGTTGCTTGGTCGTAGTGCCACCAGTTGCTATGAGGAGTTTTGTGCATTCTATGTCCCCACTACTGACCAATCAGATTCCACCTCTCATTTACTTGCACTTGCTTCAAACAAAATGGAGGCGCCCAGTCAAGACGATCTGATCGATAATCAAGATCTATATAGTAATAAAACGGGTTTAAAACGCGAAATACATGAAATTACCTGAGCACCGTGATTAAAATATTTAAAAGAATTGAAAAATATCTGTCAGTGCCGAGTTGACGGTACATAATGCTTTGCAAATCCAGCAATCGAAAGAAATCTGCACTGCAGTTTACGAACTGGATGTCAATTTTGTGACGCGATTTTTGATTGGACTATGCATAGACTCGTTAGTCCTGCCAAAATATAACTCCAAAATTCCAGCTTAGTTCGGCGAGGGTGAAACTGAATTTATATTATAAGGGTAACGCTATTTTTCAGGGCATTATCATTTGCAGAAGCCCCAGGTCTTCCATTAACTGCCCGACGAAGGAGGGCAGTTGAAAAGACCGAGGCTTCTGCAAATGATAATGCCCTGAAAAATAGTGTTACCGTTATTGTACCTAAAATGGATAGAATTTGTTATCAAATAAAAATAAACAACAATATCGGTTTTGAAACATTTAGTGCAATCAACAGTGAACACGAATTTCACTGACCCACTTTTACGAATAAGGAAACGTCATAGAACAAACCAGATGATGTCACTATTTATAGCTAAAATGGATAGAATTATCATAAAAACGCCCGCATGTTATCAGAAATGAGTGGGCCACTGTAACTTGATAATGCCCTCACATTACTTGACGACGGGCCATTATCACGCCCGTTGTTAGGTGACGTCATATGATAGGGATAGGTGACGTAACGTTCAATAGTGACGTCATCTGGTTTGTTCTATGACGTTTCCTTATTTGTAAAAGTGGGTCAGTGACATTCGGGTTGATTGCAGTAAATGTTTCAAAATCGACATTGTTGTTTCTTTTTATTTGATAACAAATTCCATCCATTTTAGCTATAATAACGGTAACGCTATTTTTCAGGGCATTATCATTTGCAGAAGCCCTCGGTCTTTTCAACTGCCCTCCTTCGTCGGGCAGTTAATGGAAGACCTCGGGCTTCTGCAAATGATAATGCCCTGAAAAATAGCGTTACCCTTACATGAACGTGACTTCACCTTTCCTATGACGTCACATAACAATGGGCGTGATAATGGCCCGTCGTTAAGCAATATGAGGGCATTATATTATCAATTCTGATAACATGCGGGCGGTTTAATGATAATTCTATCCATTTTAGCTATAAAGTCAGTTAACTACCTTGCCTCGTGAAGATGACATTACCAGGTATGCTGAGAAGGGAGCGAAGTCTTGGAAGGGCCATGATTGTCTCAGCATCGGTCGCCAACAAGAGCAGGCAATTTAAAAAAATTGGTGAACATACTTTTGCCGACTGTAGTGTAATAAAAAAAACATAGGAAGAACCCTACGTGTACTTTGTGTTTATTCTGCCGATTGAAAACTTACATATTCACTATAAAAAAGATTGTTAATAAAACGGGAAACGAACTGCTAGACAATAGGTTACACTAGATTTCACAACAAGACATCTTTCTGTTGCACAAATCCAAAACAATTTAAACAAAACAAAAATACCACACTTTGCCATGTGTATTATAAGAAAGCCCATAGATTTAGAAATAGGAAAACGTCTGAACTTGCATTACAATAGTCATTACTCACAGATATTAATTAATATAATGTAGATTATTGTGTGAAAAAATCTATTTCAGTTGTGAAAAAATCTATTTCAGTTGTATATGAATATAGTTTTTTTTCACTAGATCACCGTCAAATTGATAGTTATAGTACCGTGTCTGTTTTTATGTTAAAACCCAAGGAGTTAAACAACCATTTTAATTAACTCGATCACCACGTTGATATTTGGTGTGAATTCATTAGCAACATAAAAAACAAACAACTTTCAATAACAAAACTCTTAAAGCATACCTAAAATCCTTACCCTTGTGGTCAAGGGCAGATAACTTCTTGTATTGCAAATTAGCTCCCTTGTTCTGAAGGTCATCACCATCGCCGACATGGCGGACAAACCAGTCGACCCAGTGCCTGAAAAGGCATGGCAAAAAGATTTACGCCTCAAAAGACAAAATTTCTACAAGGGCAGCCAGTATCCGCCATTCGCCATCGAGCCTTTGCCATACGACCGTCAAAGGTTGGGCGGAGATGGCATGTCTCAATCTGATCGTGCGCTCAGGCGTCAGTGGGTGAAAGACCAAGAGCTTTCTCCCCGTGAACCAAGAATAATCGAGGAAATTAAACCGAAGAATGTTTTCAAGAGAATGTATAACGCACCATGGAATACGATCTTCGGTGCTTTAAAGCCAATAATGGTAGGAACTGCACCATTATGACTACGAGTTACACAAACATGTTTTAACTGTTTTGACCTCCACAACTGATCATGCTCAATGTCTAAGATACTGGCTACTTTCGTCAAAGTTTACCTGAGATGCAGTCATTACAAGTAAATCAAAATGACATTACCCGTGTTAAGAGAATTGTTCTGTTTTATGTTATTGGTTCCTTCTGTTTAACCATAAAAACTGAAATAGATACACGACCAGGATTGTTTCATAATCGAACATGTTGACAGATGCCTGATTTTGGATCCCTTATACATGTATGTCTATTTAAGCATGAGAAATGTCTAAAGGAATCTAAATTAATTGTTAGCCTCTCCTAATATGGCTATAGTTAGGATGAATGTCCAGTTAAATGTAAAATAATGGAAATGTTTCAATTACGAGCTGATTACATGGTCTCTACACGGTCACCATTGCATGGCAAAAGATGTTTTGATAAATGTTACTTGTTTTTACCCTGACTTGTGCTAAGCAATAAGGGGATAAAACAAGGACTGGTCGGCTCTGAGTCAGTAAATTGCAGCTAGAACTATAAAACCGGCTTAATCAGGACTAGTACTGTACAAGCAGCAACACATACACACACACATATGTATTTCACCTCACTCACCTAAACATGTTGAACCTAATCCAGTTCTTTGTGTGAAACATGACTATGCTAACCAGAAGCCTTATGCATTCAGGCCCTCCCATAATGTTGTACACTGATGATCATATTTCTCTCTCGTGTTTTACAGGGTGAATTTCCTGCAACAGTGGCAAGACTGGTTGTTCCTCGGACCTTGATCTTCTACAGCATCATACTGGTTTCTTACTATCAACTGAAGTACCATCCAAATGTAAGACCACAAATCTCTGTAACCATGGTAACCATCCCTGGAATGCAAGTCTCTGTAACCATGGTAACCATCCCTGGACTCTGTTGTGCTTACCCTTTGTCAAGTGTTTACAGTGCTGCTGATGCTACTCCTATTGCAGTATTAACCTTGCAGTCCAGTCATTTAGTAAAGTGCTATGGTCTCTCCAGCAGTGAGGGTGGGACATATTTGCTGGGCAGTCATGTGTAGTAGTTGTCTGAGGTGCATTGTAATACCAGAATTAGTGACAGCAATGATGATAAGACTTTAATGGTTCTCATGCTCTTCAGTTTGAATAGAATCCAAACTTTAATTCACTTGTTTCAGCTTCGTGGACATTGTAGTGAGTTTTAAATCTGATTTTAATGTTTAAGTATGAATGTCCGTTAGCACATCTAGCATATTATTTTCAACTTATTTATCATGTTTAAATAGATAAAGAATTAATGTCAATTTACCTTTCATCTTTTATCATGTTTATGTTTCTGTTTTTGTCTTGTTTATTCAGGATTGGACAAGAGTGAATGGTTTCCACATCTACACCAACAAACCTGCAGTCTTTGGTGTAAGTAAACATGTCAGTGTGTTTTGTCACAACCTCATCGTGTCCAGCAACCCTTTTGATGCTGGCAATACCGCCTCTGTGGTCTAGTGGATAGAGTGCCTCAGTGTTTGATCCTCAGCTGCATCATATCAAAAGATGTTAAAAGATGGTAACTGTTGTTACCCTATCTGGCGCTTGGCATGAAAGGGATAAACAACTGGTCAATATACTGAGTTTGAGAGGGTATTCATGTTAAAACAGAGGCTTGGTATCTCAGTGGGCCACCACTTTGGAACCGGTATTACTCCAGACGAGTACAAGCAGAGTATGTGAAGATCCAGGTTGGACTTGGTCTTCAGCTACCCATGCTTATTGTAAGAGGCACCTATGCTTGTCTTAAGATGTGACTAACAGAATCGGGTGGTCAGGCTCGCTGACTTGGTTGATGCATGTCATCATATGCCAATTGCGTACATTGATGCTCATGATGTCAATCACTGGATTGTCTGTTCCAGACTCAATTATTTACAGACTACAGTCACATAGCTAGACTATTGTTGAGTGCGGTGTTCAACAACAATCAAAACTAGTACAAGAAACCACACGCATGCATAATTTTGGACACATCTAAACCCCATTTTACCTTTGATTTTAACATGGTTGAACAGCAATGGCAATGAACAGGTTGGTGTGGTAGGCCAATGCATGAGTTATGGGGGCAATCCAAATGCTGTGTGCGGTTACCACATGGATGCTGTGTGTGAAACCATTTCTGGTGTCACTCGTCGTGATACTGCTAAAAGCAGCATAAACCCGCACTACATGACATGAAAATATGTTTTGTGATAGTGTGAATGTATACAAATTACAATGAAATCAGATGATGCAGTAATTTCAGCATCTCATCACATTGATGACAACTGCTTAAAACCCAGCTACTCTCACCTTTAGCTGTTTATAATCAGGGCCGGTGGGGTAACCTAGTGGTTTAAGCGTTTGCTTGTCATGCCGAGCCATGGGTACTATGTGTGAAGCCCATTTCAGCTGTCCCTTGCCGTGATATTACTTGAATATTGCTTAAATCGGCATAAAGCCATACTCACTCACTCACTCACTATTTATGATCATTCTTGAGAATATCATCATCCTTTCCATGTTCTGTTGGTTTTTTTCCACAGGACCAACCTCCTCCACCTGAGAAGAACTCCCCTAGTGATTTCTGTGAGCGAGGATTCAAATCCAGGAATGTTCTTTTGGATGGGAAGACAAGTCGTGTTGCATGAAGTATAGATTTAAAAGACTCATGTAGAAATTATTGTGTGTCTGTTAATAGTGTCAGTGTTTAGTGGCAGGTTATCATTTGAATTTAACTTCGGGTGATGCCGGAGAATTTCGACCTGATGAAGACTGACCTCACAATACATGACTGTATATACATGGAATAAATGTTGCCACAGACATCCGATTGTCAAGTTGTGTCTTGCTTTACATTATAGCTAAAATGGATAGAATTATCATTAAACCGCATGCATGTAATCAGAAATGAGCGGGCCACTGTAACTTGATATTGCCCTCATGTTGCTTGACGACAGGCCATTATCACGCCTATTGTTATGTGACGTCATAGGAAAGGTGACGTCACGTTCAATAGTGACGTCATCTGGTTTGTTCTATGACGTTTCCTTATTCGTAAAAGTGGGTCAGTGAAATTTGTGTTCACTGTTGATTGCACTAAATGTTTCAAAACCGATAGTGTTTATTTTTATTTGATAACAAATTCTATCCATTTTAGGTACAATAACGGTAACGCTATTTTTCAGGGCATGATCATTTTGCAGAAGCCCTCGGTCTTTTCAACAGCCCTCCTTCGTCAGGCAGTTAATGGAAGACCTGGGGCTTCTGCAAATGTTTATGCCCTGAAAAATAGCGTTACCCTTATAACACTGTGCTGTTGGAAAGTTGAAGTAATCCATCTTGTCTTGCAGTCTTGTGGAGAGTCTAAATTTGAAACAGATGAGGCGGTTTCACTAATCTCTTTTATTAGTTCAGGTGGGTAAGTCAGTGGAGTTGCTCATTTGTACTTCAGCTTGAATCAGTCATTTTGTTGTCATTGTCATTTGATGGCATGGGGTGAGTGAGTTGGGTTTAAAAGGGCCTTGAACAGTTTGCCAGTTATATCAAGGCATGCCAGCTTAATGTGAAAGGAAAGCCCTGGTATGAGACATTTACCACCTAAGTGTAACCCACGAGCACGCTTATGATGCTGCCAAACCAAGAAACATGCTTGGGGCAAACCGGATTCGATTCCACAATCATTGGTGTCTGGCATGCCCAAGGCACGAAACTCTGCACAGGGAATGTTGATTACTTGATTGTTTAGATTTTCTCCATGTTCGGTGTGGCCTTACTACAAGATGTTTCAACCAACAGGTTGGTGTTCTTCTCCTTGGCGCAAAGGATAAAACATGACTCCAAGGATTTGGTTGACCAGGGAAGCACTAATGGAGCCAGTACACGTGAGGGCGTTAGCCCCATGTTTTACTAGCAAGTCACTGCTGCCTGACTGTTTTTCCCTGTAAACCAAAGTCGAGGAGGAGTATTTTATCCGATTTAACAACAATTATTTATATTTGTTTAATATTTAATATAAAAATGCGTTACCACAATCTAAAGAAACGCTCGTAAAATATATCGGACAAGGCCATATCCGCTTTACATGGTACCTTCTAATGAACCCCCCATCTTCAGCCAGTCCTAAGGGCTAATGGTAAGAGTGCCTACCAGAGATATTTCATCATGTTATCTCACACTTGCCCGAACCAGTCACATATTCTAATAGTATTCTTTGGATTGAACCATTAAGCATGTTCGGGCCCAGTACTGGAGACAGGGGAGCTTTTACATTTCTCCAACGGGGTACTTCTAAGCTTTTGCCCAATGTTTACAATATGAGGATATTTTAGTAGATAACATCCTTATCAGCAATGCCTTGTTTAGGCGTTTAATGTAGTAATCATGGCGAAGTCTTTTGAGAGAGAGAGTCAAATGCTACTCATGACCACGAAATAGAGGTCAAGGCCATCATGATTGCAGAACATTTCTTGAGTGATATCTGTTGCCGTGTGGAGAGAGTGAGTGAGTGAGTATGGTTTTACGCCGCTTTTAGCAATATTCCAGCAATATCACGGCGGGGGACACCAGAAATGGGCTTCACACATCGTACCCAGCCGTGTGGAGAAGAAAGGCGCGCTAGAACGCCCAGAGACTGGATTTGTTTTGAAGACCCCAGTGCAGACGCTTGGAGCTCTAGATTGAATGGGATCGATTGGGGTGGACAGAGTCGTGACCCCGCCTGCCCGTCCGTCGGTCCATTATCATTTCGTTTCCAGAGCACACCTCGAAAACCGTTCAATATCTTTCAACAAAACTTTGCACATTACCAAACAGACCCTGAAGTGGTGCCTTTTGCTGTTTGCAGATATTTTGCATTTTTAATTTTTCTCGATTTCCATGGAACCAATTTGGACTCTTACACCTTTCTGTATGTGTAACGATGCGAACGTGTGTGTTAAATGGGGCTTTGGACTGCTTTCTGTCAATGGTCAAATATGCACGACAAATATCACTTGTGTAAAAGGGAATATGTTTAATATTATATCATAATGATTATCGAATCACAACAACTAAAATTGTACCACACATAGACTTTGAAAGGAATTTGATTAACAGAAAGTAGCAATAGTATCAAAAACGGTTGGGGTGTAAACCAATTGCGTAGACCTAAACACATGATGTCAATCACTGGTTTGCCATATAAATGGACTACTGCTCAATGCGTCCTTAAACGTAAAACAACGTACAGGCAAACAAACACAAGAAACCAAGACAATGTGACAACAGTTAATGGAATACATGATATTAATAATTTCATAATTGATAAGACTTTCATCTTTCAATAAATGCAAAACGTCAACGCCAGAGAATATTTAGTTTCGACATTTCAGCATGTACGTAAAAGTGATTCATGACTTTCACATATTTTCTAAGGATTGGCTTTGTGCGTTGGATCAGTGGAAATCCCCCTTATGCTGAGACCGACAGACATTTTCAATCTCATTTAATTATTAATCTGTAGACGTCAAAGACTCATTCTTGTTAAATTATTGATGCTAATATGAAACGTTTCTTGACTTTTATTGGACCATCAGTAACATGATCTTGTCAATAACAAGAACACCCAGGCCTTAGAGATTATTACATCATCTATTATTTATGCCATTATCCTTCATTGGAAATAGCGTCTTAATTAGAAAAGATATCAGACTAGATAGTCTAGAAATTAAGCCCTGGTTTGGCATTGATGTCTGTGTACGTGAAAGTGGCAGAAAATAACATGTACCAGTCGAACCCCGTTATCTCGAATCAAGCGGGGCCGTTTTGTAAACTTCGAGATAATCGGACATTCGAGACAACGAGCCATTGAAATCCAGACTGATCAAGTAACAGTATTACTAATAAGATCAATAGCAATACGATCGCACTTACCGGACAATAAGAACTACAAGAAGTGCACCTACAGTTGTGTTAGGTGTGTGAGGATAGGTACTAGATAAACGGGTACCAAGTGCTTATTGCTGTATGGTATGCACATATTTTTTTTTAATCATTTTTTTTACTTTATTTTTTTAATTTTAATTTTTTAAATTTTATTTTTGACATCATTTTTTAGTCATGTTGATTATCCACGATTTTACATGTCCCTGTACATTGCCACGTGGACTGGCATATCAGGGTTTATATTTTTATGTTTGGGTTTGAGTTGCTTAAAGCAATAATACTCATCTAAATATTCAGTACACATTTAATTTTTTCTGCAAGATTAACATTGTTATACTGTATGGTATGGTATGCACATTCGCGCTTCTTAAAACTGTAAATGTGGCAAATGCCAACTTCGAGATAAATGTATAAAATGTTATAGAAAAGTCACAGTTTGGACCGAGTCCAATGTTCGAGATAGCACTCTCTCTCTTTTTTCTCGAATTCGAGATGAGCCTGGACATTTATATGCATTTATATAGTGAGGCGGTCGACACCGGAGAAAAGGTTCGAGATATCGGTACATTCGGGTTAACGCGGTTCGACTTTGATTTACTCAACAACCAATTTGATGGCTTATTGCCCTAATCAGCCACCATGATAAAGATATATGTAATAGCGAATAGGGAATCTGAAAACGACGAAACATTTGACTGAAAATGAATGCTTAATTTTTCTTATTTGTACATATATTAACACGACCTTGAGAGTGAGTACAGTAAACTACGGTTATTACGAATTCAAAGGGACCACTTATTTTAGTTCGTCATAACCGTAGTTCGTTATAAGCATATATACAGCATATATACAACACATGGACGGGACTACAAAATAAGTTCGTTATATCGGTCACTTCGTTATAAGCGTGTTCGTAATAACCGTAGTTTACTGTATAATATAATTTTCAGCTAACTTGGTGGTGAACCACCATATACCGATGTTTGAACACAGACAGGAATGGTTAGTCAAGTTTACTAACTTAGTGAATTTACTGACCACTCAGACACCAACACGTTAGTAGATTTTACTTTTGTTTGTTTGTTTGTATGCTGTTTGACGCCGCACTCAGCAATATTCCAGCAATATGACGGCGGTCTGTAAATATTCGAGTTTGGACAAGACAATCCAGTGAATGACATCATGAGCATCGATTTACGCAAGTTGTAAATGATGACATGCATCAATCAAACCAGAGAGTCTAACCACCCGATCCCGTTAGTCGCCTATGAGGACGAGGAGGACGATGTTACCGAGAGTGCCACGAAGGTGTCACGCGCTGGGAAGGAGCTTGGCCAATGGAAGATACTTTGTTTTCTGATAAGAAAGATTTTTCGCTAAAGAAAATCAGCATCGATCAATCCTAATTGATGTCATTAAGGTTGAACAAATAACAGGAATTATTTTGCGTATGACATATTTAATAGGTTTAAAACGTATGCCATTACGATCCATCATAAATTTACTACCACTATAATATAGCGTTCCAAGCTAAGTCTGTGCATGTGAGAGGTGTTTAGTGTGTGTGATTTGATGTATGTTGGAGAGAGGTGTTTAGATGTGTGATTGGGTGAAAATGTGTATATGTGAGAGGTGTTTTGCATGTGTAAATGGGAGGGTGGGTGAGTGAGTTTGGTTTAACGCCGCTTTTAACAGTATTCCAGTTATATCGCGGCGTGTCAGCTTAATGTAGGAGGAAAGCCCGAAGTGATGCAGGTCTCAGACGTTTACCACTTCGGTGAAACCCACGCGCACGGGTATGGTGCTGACAAACCTAGAAACATAATCGGGGCGAACCGGGCTTCGAACCCACAATCATAGGTTTCTGGCGTGCCCAAGGGACGCAACTCTGCACAGCGAATCG